GGGAGGGGTGATTTAGCAAAACTATAGTAGGGGGTGAGGGTGTTTACGGGGTGGGGATTGCAAACACGTTATGTCCAAAGAAGAAAGGAAAGGGACGAGCAAGGTTGACATGTCATCTCGTATTATTAAATCTTTTGCTTCTCATCTCCCTTGATAGAATATTTAAATACTAAATCACGTTTTCATCTAATAGTTTAAATTTTCGGAACAGTTGGCGGTGTTCCCATAAAATTTCACATGGTATCAGAGCAGAATGTCGTATATTCAAATCTTTCCGGACCTTATTTGCCTCCCCAATTAAGTATATTCACGCCTAGACCAAGCGTGAGGATATGTGATAGGCGGTGATCCCACAAAATGGCAAGTTGATTTCCTTGCCTTTGCCCCGACGAATACAAAAATCCAGTAGAGTTGGAGAGAGGTTGTGACTCTTCCAATCGATTGAGCTCGTGCTTTTATAGCCTAACATCGCATCTCTTCTGTAGCTCGACTGTCTGTGTGTGCGCGCGTGGTGGAAGCAATGATGATGAAAACTCCTGCCAGATGGCAAAGGAATTGAAGGGCGGTCGTGACACCAAGATGGATGGATGCATGAGTTGAGTGCAATCGCGAGGAGAAGGAGGAGGAATGAATGAGCTGCTGATGTCCGGCCAAGTTTCCGAGGGAGACTTATGGGCTCAGGCTTCGCATGAACATTTGGGCTCCCTTACTACAGGCCTTGGTGATCTGCTTCCACCACCTCAAACCTCTAAAAATTAATAGATCTTGTTTTATATCTTCTTAAAATTTTTGGGTCGGATCACATTCCGGACCCGTCCACAAAAGTTCGCAATCCTGCCTAGGGGTTGATGTTCGATGCCAACATAGCTATCCCTGAACTAAAATATCCACTAGTTTCCAAATGCAGTAAGACATGTGAATGCAACAGTTTGCTGTATTGTTTTGTTTAGGGGTCGAATTCCTATGATTTGATCCCCAGTCATATGAAATGCCCAGGGGACTTTTGGGACGGAAAAGTTAGGTGTCAGACAACAAGGTTTCCAGTTGTTGATACGTTGATCTTTTCTCAGGGACATGTACGATCAATAATTGAGGGGTTGACTCTTTTCTTTGCGCTTTTGGGATACTTGATGAGTACCCGCAATAGGAAATGTTAAGCTCTTTCGAAGCATTGATCAAATGTATCATGAGAAAAGCAGTACACTCTTGTTGATTTGACATCTTAACCGGTGCCCAAACCACTCATGCAACAACATCTTTTTATTAGTAAGACTTGAAATAGTCATTTCATTTATTGATTCTTTGCATGGTATGTGTAGTCAGTTATATTTATGGAGCGATTACTTGAGTGTGCATCAATGTAAAAATGATCACTTTAGTGCCTTTAACGATATATTTCGATAAAGAGTCGTACGTGATTTTTTTAATGAGTTTTTAAATCTGACGTGACTCTTTAAGAAAAAATTGAAGTCCAACGTGGACTTGGGTGAGGAATTGGGGTTAAATTGATTCGAAAACGAAAATTTTAACCCTAGCTTTAATTTAGTTGACTCTCGATTCGTGGCTCAATTTCAAATTCTCGGTAAAATTCGTGATGTGAGCGGGAGTGAGAGGAGGGGGCCCGCAATCATCTCAAGCAATACAGGTAAATTTTGGATCTACTTGGAGGACACCGGGACACCAACTCCATGAAATTTGATAGAGGAAGAGTTAAATGATGCTGACACAGTCGCAAGTAGAAACCAAAGGTCATTAATTTTTAGTCAAGCATTTGAACATGGCAGCTCGTCCACCTCGTTGCTACTCCCCCGTTGTCGCAAGCTTGGCTCCGAGCCACTAGGCACATCCCAAGCATTGATCCCCAAGCCCTCAAGCTTTACGCGATGTCCTTGTGCATTGTGCGTCGGATCCGGGCTCCGGATGTCGGATCCAACGTCGCCGAGCGCCAATTCGGCTTCTCTGGCCATGGGCAACCTTAAATTTGGTGTCGCCCACAGCTAGCGATGCCATTAGCCACAATCGCACAAGGAGAAAGACAAGAACACAAATCTTGGGCTAGCTAATGGGCAGTGCTAGGGGTGACGGCACGAGGACGGGAGTTGACGATGGTGGTAGCACCACGGGGGGCTTGGGATAGAGGCCGGCAGTGACCAGAGTTTGGCTCGGATGTTGTTGTGTAAAATATCCGATAAGTGAGGACTATCTGGGCAAACAAGGGTAAGGCAACATAGTTTGGCTCTTACTTTGCTGACTTCACTTTGCCAGCGAATCATGTCGGACCGTTTATTTTTATCTAATGTAATGTCAATTTTCTGATCACTAAGCCGATGACATTGAAGTGAGTGTTCTATGAAAGTTATAGTAGTTTTAGTGTCCTTATCCGTAAACCTTATTATCTCTCTACTCTCTTTTGCATAGCAAACTCACAGCTGTTTAGAAGCCCTTTTTTTTTTTCAAATTCAGAGGCCTTTTGAACCGCTAATAGAAAAGCCTTTCCATGTTGACTTTATTGACTCCTAAAGGGGGAGGAGTCCATTTAGGAGGGATTGTTGCATAGTCGTTGTATCACGAACTCTGGATTGGTGCCCAGGATTCGTCGAATTACAACGGGAAGATCCATAGGCGAATGAACTTCCACAATATTTGTATCGATGGTCCCATGAACGGCAACAAACTATCCCCATTACATTGTGAAAATCCTCGAAATGGATGTTGTTAGGTGCATGGCCGGAAGCATATATGTGTACACCCTTTGTCCTTAATGAAATTCGCCTATTAGAGTTCGGGCGGCAGGTAGTTCAAGTACTTTATCGTTATAAATACCGGGAAACGTGGACACACACACTGTGTATCGCAAAAGTTAGATATTTTTTTTACAGATTACGCAAAAACTAGTTTAGTACTAAATGTCTGGATGATTAAATAATGGAAAAGTTATTGACAAAAATACACAAGTGACGAACGAAGAATGTGTGTGTATATATGTGCGTGTGAAAAATTTCAATATCTCGATATGCTCAAATTTAATTTACTAGAACATGTGAGATTATATGGAACATTTGATTGAAGCATTTGCATACGAATTCATATATTTGTAAAACAAATAATCGAGGACATTTTGGAAAGAAGTAACGATCGAGAATCCTTAAAAGTAGGAAGTTCACTTTATATGATAAGCGATGAGCGTCCTCGAGACACTTTTCAGTGAAGACCTTGATCTAGAACACACTCCTTAACCATGTTTCAGCAATAAGAATGGAAAAGAGTATTCATTCTCATTCGGAATCTGTTGTTAAAGATCCCTAGTTTTGTGGATTGAGACGCTGCCCATTACTTGTCCCCCTAAACCTCCATCCATCTCGCCCTGATGATCACGGAGGTGTTTAAATATTGTTACATCTCAATCTCGTAGCCTTGAATTATAAGTTATCTTTCTTATGATGTTAAATACCTTCTCGAGAGTCTCTTCGATTATCCAACCATATTTCCGGGTCAATCAAACGAATTTCAATGCATAAATTACCAGTCAAAAAGACGAACGCCCGCGTGTGAAATCGATCTGGGTACTCCCTACGTGTCCAAGCTCCTTGTATGATTGAGTTCAAAGAATCTCGTTTATTGGTCATCGACAGGACCTTTTCCTTGCGTCTTGTTAGAAGAATGAGATCGGTAGCATATGTCATATGAATTCATTATAAATGTCACATTATAAAAGCTAACTTTTTCGTCATACACATACGAAATCCGAACCCGAAAAGATAAAAAAGAGAATATTCGCGTGCAGGCCTTGGCCTTCCTCGGGTTTGGAAAAGTCAACGGAGAGCGAGTCTCTCCAACCAACGGCGCCATAATGGTAGGCGACGAAGCTTTGATAACTTCCACTTCCGGTTGGCAAATTGATCTGACACAACTTCACCAAGACGACGACGACTCCAAACTTGGTCTTTCGGAAAGCTAAATTGAAATTTGAAACGAACATTGCTGCGTAGAAATCTGATCGCCGACTCATTCATCAAAATGCTCCACCACCAAAGAGATGAGAAGAGATGTCCAAGTTGTCCTCCCGTTCACGACGTCGCCAAACGTGTAAAGGCGGGATTTCTCCTACTTTAGACTTCCACCCATGAAAAACCTTAAGACTGTAGCATCACCAATTGGCAATATGATGCGGACTTGCGGAGAGAAGGAGGTTCTTTTAATTCCTTAAATTCGGCAGCCTTGCGATAGTGGGATGCGCTGTGTCCCTTTTTTTTTTTATGTCGTGGCTTTCGATCCACGGATCCTATTTTGGATCTGTCGAGGCTCGGTTGGTGGGTGTGTGTTAATAAAATCAAATCACTCCCCACCAAATTGCTCCCGGTATCCAACAAGATGTGGATGGCCTAACTCTCTGCTGCTTGAGACAATTTCAGCCTATACATATGGAAAAGGCAACTTTGAAACCTTAAAAATCGCCCCCTCTTGGATCTCTGTCCAGGTATTGTCCGTGGAAACAAAAGAAATGCGCACGGTCTATACCCAAAGAGTTAGCTTCACAAATCGGTACGCTAAGCGCGACGCAATACCATCGAGCGCCCCTTCGAATGTCTCGCAGAGAGCCTTAACGTGTAAGTCTTTGCTCGAGACATGTTTCGATAGGCCGTCGGTGTGGTCATGACTCCTGGCAATGGCGGGTCAGAGATTTCTGCCGATCATCGTCCAATCTAAACCTTATGCGGCCGTCCTCTTCAATTAAATTAAACTAAACCCAATCTAAGTGTTTCTTTAATAAAATGGGACGGCCCTTTCTTTAGCTTTCCGTAGTGAATGATCTTTGGGTCCCCCCCGCGTACGTCAGCAGTAAATCCCCTTATTCCCTACGCGTTTTGGAAGCGGCTTTTGCACCAATTTATCAATCAATCTTTTACCTATTCCTCCACTTCCTCTCCCTCTCTCTCCTCCAACATCGAAACCCCTCCTCTCCCCTCCCTTCTGCATCTCCTCTCTTTCACTCTCTCTCTGTTACCCCCGCCCCGCCATGGCCATGCCAGCACGGAGTGCTGCAGCAGCCCCCCATCCTCAAAATCCAATCTTTTCTGTCACCCTTTTCATGGATACGCTGCTGTGATCGAAGTTCCGTTTTTTTTTTTTTTCCCTACCCTGCTTCAATTGCCGCCGCGATGGTGACGACGACGACGATTGGCAATCTCTTCTGGGTCTTCATCGGCACGGTGGTATCGCTGCTCCTGCTCCGTCTTCTGTTCCGCAAGACCGGACCTTTCCACCTCCTGAAGCGGTGGTGGAGGTCGACCCAGGATTGGTTCTATGCCTACCAGGTCCTCAAGGTCCCCGAATTCAACGACGCCATGCAGGAGAACCCCCTCTACCGCAGCGTCTCCGCCTACCTCAACTCGCTCCCTTCCTTGGAGGAGTCCGATTTCACCAACCTCTTCACCGGCAAGAAGCCCAACGACATCCTCCTCTGCCTCGACCCGAACCAGACCGTCGACGACCTCTTCCTGGGCGCCAGGCTCTCCTGGACCAACGACCACAGAGGCGATCGGAGGGCCTTCGTTTTGAAGATCAGGCGGGCCGACAAGAGGAGCATCTTGCGCCCGTATCTCGAGCACATCCACGCCGTGTCCGACGAGATCGACCGGAAGAAACGAGACTTGAAGCTCCACATCAACGCCGACGGAGTCGTCAACGACAGGGGCTCGGGGAGATGGAGATCCGTCCCGTTCACGCACCCTTCGACGCTGGACACCATCGCCATGGAGCCCGACCTCAAGAGCAAGGTGAAGTCCGATCTCGATTCCTTCCTCAAAGCCAAGCAATATTATCACCGTCTGGGCCGCGTCTGGAAACGGAGCTTCCTCCTGTACGGCCCTTCCGGTACCGGGAAATCGAGCTTCGTGGCTGCCATGGCTAATTTTCTGTGCTACGATGTCTACGACATCGATCTGACCAAGGTGAAGGACGACTCGGATCTAAAGGTGCTCTTGATGGAAACCACCGCCAAGGCCGTGATCGTCATGGAAGACCTGGACCGGTTCTTGGCGGACAAGTCGACAGCCCTGAGCGTGTCTGGCATATTGAATTTCATGGATGGCATATTGAGTTCGTGCTGCGCCGAGGAGAGAATCATGGTGTTCACAATGAACAGTAAGGAACACGTCGATCCTGCTATACTGAGGCCCGGTCGGGTCGATGTGCACATACACTTCCCCCTGTGCGATTTTTCGGCGTTCAAGAGCCTAGCTAATAGTTACTTAGGGGTCAAGGATCACAAGCTTTTCCCTCAGGTGGAGGAGATTTTCCAGGGTGGAGCGAGTTTGAGCCCTGCTGAGATTGGCGAGCTGATGATCGCCAACAGGAATTCCCCGAGCCGCGCCCTGAAGTCGGTCATCACTGCGCTACAGACGGACGGCTCGGCGAAGATCGTACGGCGGCTATCCCAAGACGGGTTGAGGAAGCCGGGGGACGAATCGGCCGACTCGAGCGGCGTGTTCCTCAAGGATAGCAATGCGATGAAAGATCTGAGGAAACTGTATGGTCTGCTGAGGATGAAAAGCACCAGAAAGTCTCCATCTTTCGACGAGGCTTCAGGGCAAAAGGATGGATGACACAATTCTTTTCGGGACTGAAAGGATCTCTCATTCTTTATTTCTCATGGGGCCAAATATGAATCTCCTAATCCATGTTCCTGTAAGGGGACTCGAAGGAAATCGCTGGCCAGAGCTTGGGCAAAACCCGGAGCTCGAAGGGAGCTGAGAATGCAGTGCAGAAGCTGCTTTTACCATTCTCCAAATGCACGCAGTTGCTAATCCATTACACAAAGTTCAGTTAGGAGATTGATTTTATCGAAATCTACGTCCTATGTTAGAGAAACTCAAACCTTTCATATGGCTTTTTTTCTTTGGGTTTTTGTCCCCCCTCTCCCTTGCCCCTTTTGCATTTTTACGAGGATTCTTGGTTGGTCAGTTTCAGTTTGTGACTTGTCCTTACGGGGGCATGTAAATACAGGAGCATACAATTGCACAGTTGTTTCATTCTTAAATACGCTTTTGGATTTGATATTGCAGTTTGAAAAGATAGAATATGAAGGCAGAATTGAAAGCAGTTGGTCGCCACTCCGTAAAACTGCCAAACGAGCGAAGGTGTTGTCCTTGACCCTCTGTATTTGGACTAAAAGACAACAGACGAAGAATCAAAATAGAGCTAGTTTATGTCAATTGCTCCATAAATAATTTGTTTCGGGGAAGGAGACTATGTAGAGGGAGCAGCGGATCAGGTAAACAACAGTAGTAAACTAGTAAATTAAGAGTCACGTGGTGTGGCGGGAGTGAAGAGTCTGTGCAAATTGCAAAATAGAGATCAGTACCCTCATTTTTATATTTGAAGAAGCAGATGTTTGGGGGAATCGAGGGTGGCGTTGTTTCGCAGGATGGGATCGTGGGGTGCCCGTGTTGTGCATTATGTAGTCTTCGTTCCTCTCTCGTTCTTGGGTTTTTTGACTCGACTTTTGAAAGTCAGTTGACAGTCTCTTGCTCGTGGAGGAGTTTGGTTTTACGGAGCACCGGACAGACTCACACTCACAAAGGCACACAACACAACACAACACAACAATTCGACTCTGAACAGACCCTACAGAACTGACCGTGATTATAACCATCTCGTCTTTTTGCGTCAGTGCGTATGGGGGTCATGATCAGATGGTAGGAGCCCAATTATTTGGTTAGTATGGTGGGAAGTTTGTACGGTATGTTCCGAAAAGGAGATGGAGAAACGATTTGTTTTTCTAGGCCTTTATGCTACATTAACGAGGAACTTCACTATCACCATCATTGCAAGGTTTCGTTTTTTCTGTTTTCTGGTTTTTTTGTTTTTGTTTTGCTGTACCGAGTATGAAAAAGAAAGAAGAAGTTGGGTTGTATGGTGATCGAATCGACGCAGAGCTCATTAGTTGGCAGCAGATGATACCTAATGGGCATCCCCATCATCGTGATACTACACGCTTTTTAAGTCTTTTTTGACAGATGGAACTGCTTAATACCTAGAGATGTTTTCTTGGCTACCTACCAATGACAATCCTCCTCACACACCCGACGAATCACGCTTCTCCCTAATCATTCCAGCCATATTCCTGCCTCATTTACATAATGGGTGAGACAAGCCTAGCTAACGTATGGGCAAGCTGAATTCAAACCTTTCAAACTCGACGGGTATGTTCACTTGTCATAGAATCCGATGGATTTGTATACGAGCCCTTGTTGGGGGAATTTGTAGTATCGATATCATCAATACCTGACAACGAAACATTTTTTCAGGTAGCTTTCAACGTCTTCACATATCGTATTTATGAACTGATTCTTCAGTATTACCATCATTGAAACTGTTTGAGCTATCTCCGTCCTTCTATCTTCCGTATTGTCTGATGCTCTTGATGACCTCTACATTCGCCGAAAGGCATTCAAAAGTTATCTTAAAAGTAACAAAAAGCTTGATAGGGCTTGTCAAAAGCCTGAGCTGAAATCAAGTGCTCAAGGAAAAATTCTTAAAAAGACTTCATCTAAAACTTGTAGTATGAAAAGAACGTGCAATTCCATGTGAACGTTCAATCGTGGTTTTCTTTAATCTTTTTCCCCTCTAGTGCCTTCCATCCAATCGCTAGAATGTTCATGTTTTCCACACCTCAATCTAGAATTCGGAATCTCTTGCCAAATTTGGCAGAACTGCTCTGCGAAATCAGGGATTTCTGATAGGATCTTGTTACTCTAAGAAAGGAAAGTAACCAGCAACACTTGATATGGATGGGGTTTTTGTGTTGCCATTTCTGATTTCTTTCCAACTTCACAGCTGCACAGGAGAATAAATGTGACAGCAATGACTTTTGTGCCTAATAAGTCATCATTTTTTTTTCAAGAAAAATATTTTTCGCAAACGAAGCACAGCCTAAGAAAGGAAAGTAACCAGCAACACTTGATATGGATGGGGTTTTGTGTTGCCATTTCTGATTTCTTTCCAACTTCACAGCTGCACAGGAGAATAAATGTGACAGCAATGACTCTTGTGCCTAATAAGTCATCATTTCGTTTTTTTTTTTAATTTTTCTGTTGTTATTTGTGGACAGTTTGGTGGGCTCAACCATTCGGAAAGTGCTTGTCGGTGTCACTCAAATCGCTCCGATGTATAGCTCAAACCGATGATTATGTTAAATTATATCCGAATTAGAAATTTTAATCATTTTATTAGTTCCCCTGTAAAAATGTATTTATTTGGCACAGCATAATATAAATTTATGGAAAAATTTCAAATAAGGACTCGAAGTGCTCTAATTTTCTCAAATAATGGCCTGAAGTGGACTTATGTTCTTAAATAAGAACCTGAAGTGGCTATAACAGTTTCAAATAGAGGCCTCAGCCCGCCGGCTCGCCGGCCGGTCAAATTTTTGGACCGGCCTAGGGCATTTTCGTCAAAAAATAATTTTAACATAAATTTTAGTTAAATTAGATTTAAAATTAAAAAAAAGTTATAAATTAAAAAAAAAAACAGGGGGCGCGGTTGGAAGCCAGCCCTTCCCGCTTGTGGCCGCCGCCCCACTGCTGGTGGGGTGGCGACGATGGCCGACGGGGCCGCCAACGCCTCAGCTAGGGCCGGCGACCCTCGACAGAGCTGGGAGAGAGCGACGACCCCCTCCCTAATCTGGGTGAGGGTCGCCAGCCCTCGCCCAGGTCTGGGAGAGGGCCGCCAAACCTCGTATAGGGTCGCTGGCCCTTGCCCAGGTTTGGGAGAGGGTCGCCAGACCTCGTGCAGGGTTGGCGGCCCTCCCCCAAACCTAGGCAAGGGCCAACGACCCTTGCCAAGATCGGGGCGAGGTCCGATGATCCTCACCCGGATCTAGTAGAGGGTCGCTGCCCTCTCCCGGCTCTAGCAAGGGCTTGCTGACCCTCGCCTCTGGCTGGCGACCCCGCCGGCCATTGCCACCGCCCCACCGGCGATGGGGCGGCAGCCACAGGCGGGGCTGGCCTCCCCCTTGTTTTTTTTTTTTGTTAAACTTTAGCTTTTTTGAGTTTGTTTTTATGGAAAAAAAAGTTAAAAGACGAAATGCCATTGACTCTAGTGAGGTGAGGCCCTTTTTTTTAGACTGAGATGGCCACTTCAGACCCTTATTTGAGACAAGGTTCATTTCATGCCCTTATTTGAGAAAATGAGGGCATTTCGGATCCTTATTTAACACTTAGAGCCCTATTTGAGAAAATGAGAGTACTTCTGATTCTTATTTGAAATTTTCCCTAAATTTATGGATGTTCTATGTTTTCTCTATTTTTATTTTATACGCGGGTTGCTTATTCTTTAGGTTAGGTCTACATTTTGTCTAACAAAGTTGGTTGAGCTGTATAAGCATGGAAGTAATAACGATGGATGACTTTGTCAATGAACTCGCTGTCTAAAGTCGGTTATAAAATCAATGTTATTGATATTAAGTTCTTGTCAAGGAATTGACAAGGCGTCACAGTAGATTGATGGTCGTGGCTCACATAACAATAAGCTCACCTTTTTCTTCACGAGGGCCTTTCAGTAAGCACAAAATTGTGTGGCCACGAGTCGGAGCGGACAATACCTCTGAATACGATACAACACAAAGTCGGGCACCATCAACTATCTATCGATTCAAAGGTATATGAATGTGAAACTAGATATTCAACATAAGAAAAGAAGGTAAACCGAATAGGTGAACATGCAAGAGGCTTTCGTGTTCGAAAGAAAACATATGAAGTTCATCAAATGATTCGATCGATCCATGTTTTGTACAATAGATCGCAAATCAATGAGTGAGCAAGCTTGATGAAGAGTTCCATTTCGATTGATTTAATTTAAACTTTGCAGTTCATGCATTTTGACTTTTTCTCTGAATTCGAAAATTCCGAAATTGTTGCAACACTCACATGTTGACATGTATATTCATGTTTAATTTTCATTAATTTTTCTACGTTCGAGTAACATATTATATTTAGACGGAAAAGCAAAAGGTTTATTTTTTAATGTAAAAGCAAGAAAGCTACTTTTTGCTTTTTCAACAAACATTCGACGTGATAAGATGATGCGGACAATATGAAAACAATGGGAGCGGGAAAGTGAGCGTCACACGCAAGACATAGGAAAATTAGCTAAGTGATATAAGAATAAAAAAAGGTAATGGGTAGAAAATGAAAATAAGGAATAACGTTTTAATGCAATTTTGTTAAGGAATTTTTTAGACACTTGCTAAGTAGCTAAATTATGAAAATACTACGTTCTTCCATGCATTCACTATACTTTTTAAGGGTCCTCTCGTTTGAAGGAAAATTATTCTTGAGAAATTATTTTTCCGATTTTCTAGTGTTTGAATAACAAAAAACTAATCGATCTATAGAAAACGTTTTCCATGGACTGAAAACAACAAGTTTAGATTAGGAAAAATGATTTCATCTTCATCAAACAAATAAAAACTAATCATTTTCCTTGAAAATAATTTGTATGGAAATATTTTCCTTTATGATGATTTTTTCAGTAAAACAAACACACCCTAAAATGTGTAATAAGTGTTTTGAAACTCGAAACTTAACAAAATATGTTTAACAAGCGCCCTAAACTCGATAACGAACCCCTTCTCTATTAATGAAGGACGTGTTTGTTTAAAGAGAAGCGGCACTTTTTTTATCATTGGGTGCGGGTGTTGCAGTGTCGAGAGCAAGTAATGAATGAGATTAAGAAAAGATGTGTTGTTCAAAGCGGAGCGACCCTTTTCTATCATAGAGAGCTCCAATTTAAATAGCTCTATGCGTGCACATGCGAGGGGAGATTAGTAGATAGTTGATCTGTCAAAATGGATCATAGACCCATTTCTTAACTTATATTTGATGGGTTGAATTGTTATATAGATTAATTATATTCAGTAAATAAGTTATAAATGGGTTTACAATGGTAAAATCCAAAATAATATAGGTGTTAAATGGATTCATAACTTATTGAGACCCAACCCACCTCTATAACTCTCTCTTCACTCTCTCTCACCCTCACTCGAGTTCGCACTCGCTCACCTCAATTTGAATATGACTTTTCCAAATTTTGGTTAAAGATGGAAGTATTTTAACAATATGGATCGAGTCGGGAATGGATCACTAGAATTGTATTGCATGGAAATAGGTCAAAATGGATTAAATGAGTCAATGGATCGGATCATTCTCGATCCGACCCACACATTTGACGGGTATAGTAGAGAGTCATTTGTAACTTGAACAAAGTTAGGTATATTTTACTCATGAAAGCCCTCCTCATGCCAAAAGTCAAAAGAAGGGTAAAAAAAAAAAAACAGATACA